TGCCTGCGGACCAGTCCGCGATCAGTCTGGTAAGGCGGGGATGCGCACCAAAAGCGGACTAGTTCCAGCCGGACTAGTCCGGCAAATAGGTCGTTTTTTGGTCGATCTGGCCTTTTTCGCGGACTAGTCCGCTCGCTTTGGCGGACTGATGACGGACTGTCCAGCCGGACTCTTTCCGGACCGAAAACGGACTGATGCCGGACTAAACTTTTTCGTACGGGTACTGTACCGCAAGCACGCGAGTGGGTGGGTTGCCTACCCGCACGCGGCCATAAGGAGCCGTGGGGAGCGAGGATCGGCAAAACCCGACCGCCTCCGTGCATGTGAAAGTACGAGGCGTGAGTCGGCCTCCTGGCTGAGCGTTATAATGGTAGAGAAACATGACCCTATGCCCCCCCTTTTTTCCCCGATCTGTTTTCACCACGCTCAATGACGGCATAAACACTACAATAAAGTGAGGGGCTCCTTGCGCATAATGGTGCACAGGTATACCAGGTATCGCGATGGGGGATTAGGAACCAGGGGAGGGGGGGGGGGAGAAGCCGCTTGGGGACTCTGGGGACTCTCCGTCTCTCGGAAGAGAAGAGTAGGGTCGGCCCAAAGCAAGTTCTAACATGCCAAGGTAAGGACTGGGAGCTCGAGCTCGTTCGGAGTTCGGAGGAAGAGGGAAAAATCACGTCTACGTCTCTGTTCTCGGTACAGCATTGCGGTCTGACCCAACTGCAACTAGAACCCTTCTCATTTACCTTTTCACTCCGCGGTGGACGGAGGCACGGTCAACGTAGGCGCGAAGGGCAGGCGTACGCAGCTACGAGCAGACACCTCGTGCCTCCCCCTTCCCCTCGCACCCTGCAGCCGTTCCTCCTCCAGGCTCCCGCGGGAGGACAGCGTGAGCGCCCGCGGGCCCGCGGCTAGGCAACCTGGCCGACGGGGGAGCTGGGCGCCAGGCCTAGCGCGCCGTGCCTAGGGGGCCCTGAGGAGGAGGTGGTGGCTAGGGTGAGGCGCTGCTCAGGCTCAAAGAGGGGGGGGGGGGAGTCAAGGGGCAACGCGTCCCAATTGCGGCAGCGTTCACGTGTGGTTTCCGTGTTCCGATCATCACGCTGCACGCGGCCGCCTGCTACAGAAGATCGTTATCAGAGGATGCGAGCGAGATACTACAGTCCGTGTTAAACGTCACCCCCTCCCGGCCCTCCTCCTCCAGACGACGACATGTTATCTATGGGGCGTTTTTATCGCGGCTTGCAGCAGGGGCACTCCCCCGATGACCCTTCCTACTTCCACTAGACGGTCGTTATGTATGTAGTGCGACGATGGGTTGGTCATCGGCCACCACCAAAGCCGAGCGTTAGGGTCTCGCTCGGCTTCTCCAAGAGTCTTCGACGGGCCTCTTTCTCGTCGCCTCGGTGGTGGCGGCTTTGTTGGCTTCGTCCCGGCTCGGCTCTGCCTCGGTCCCGGCTGAGCTCGGCTCGGCTCCGTGCGGCCGCTGCTGCCGCCGCGCCCCGCCTTTTGCTCGTGCCCGCGCCACGCCCCGCCACGCCCCGCCACGCTGTGACTAGCTAGATTTGTATCTGTTCGGTACAGTTTGCGGAGAGCACTACTGCCCTTGCCCTTCGCGGCCGGCTCGGGTGATTTCCCACGGCACGCTCGCGGCCTCGCCCCGCCCCGCCCTGCCCCGCACACCACGGGGCACCCCCCGCGGGGAACCGGGACAATCAGCAAAAAGATAAACGCGCATTAAAATATAC